AAATTTACTTGAAACAGTTTTAGTTGAGACAGTTTTAGTATAAACTTTTTTAGTATGAACAAATTTACTTGAGACAGTTTTAGTATGAACTTTTTTAGTGCGCAACAATTTTAGAATGAAACATTTTTTCTCGAAACAGTTTTAGTTGAGACAGTTTTAGTATAAACTTTTTTAGTATGAACAAATTTACTTGAAACAGTTTTAGTTGAGACAGTTTTAGTATAAACTTTTTTAGTATGAACAAATTTACTTGAAACAGTTTTAGTTGAGACAGTTTTAGTATAAACTTTTTTAGTATGAACAAATTTACTTGAAACAGTTTTAGTTGAGACAGTTTTAGTATAAACTTTTTTAGTATGAACAAATTTACTTGAAACAGTTTTAGTTGAGACAGTTTTAGTATGAACAAATTTACTTGAAACAGTTTTAGTTGAGACAGTTTTAGTATAAACAAATTTACTTGAAACAGTTTTAGTTGAGACAGTTTTAGTATAAACAAATTTACTTGAGACAGTTTTAGTATAAACTTTTTTAGTATGAACAAATTTACTTGAAACAGTTTTAGTTGAGACAGTTTTAGTATAAACAAATTTACTTGAGACAGTTTTAGTATAAACTTTTTTAGTATGAACAAATTTACTTGAAACAGTTTTAGTTGAGACAGTTTTAGTATGAACAAATTTACTTGAAACAGTTTTAGTTGAGACAGTTTTAGTATAAACAAATTTACTTGAGACAGTTTTAGTATAAACTTTTTTAGTATGAACAAATTTACTTGAAACAGTTTTAGTTGAGACAGTTTTAGTATAAACAAATTTACTTGAGACAGTTTTAGTATAAACTTTTTTAGTATGAACAAATTTACTTGAAACAGTTTTAGTTGAGACAGTTTTAGTATAAACAAATTTACTTGAGACAGTTTTAGTATAAACTTTTTTAGTATGAACAAATTTACTTGAAACAGTTTTAGTTGAGACAGTTTTAGTATAAACAAATTTACTTGAGACAGTTTTAGTATAAACTTTTTTAGTATGAACAAATTTACTTGAAACAGTTTTAGTTGAGACAGTTTTAGTATAAACTTTTTTAGTATGAACAAATTTACTTGAGACAGTTTTAGTATAAACTTTTTTAGTGCGCAACAATTTTAGAATGAAACAATTTTTCTTGAAATAGTTTTAGTTGAGACAGTTTTAGTATGAACTTTTTTAGTGTGTAATAATTTTAGAATGAAGCATTTTTTCTTGAAACAGTTTTAGTATGAACAAATTTACTTGAGACAGTTTTAGTTGAGACGGTTTTAGTATGAACTTTTTTAGTGTGCAACAATTTTAGAATGAAACATTTTTTCTTGAAACAGTTTCTTGAGACAGTTTTAGTATGAACAAATTTACTTGAGACAGTTTTAGTATGAACAAATTTACTTGAGACAGTTTTAGTTGAGACAGTTTTAGTATGAAACGTTTTTACTTGTAATGATTTTAGTCGCAATATTTTTAGTGTGGAACATTTTTAGTTTGTTACAAATTTACCCGAAACGGTTATGGTCGCAATAATTTTGGCATAAACATATTTGGTTTGTAACAAAATTAGTATGTAACATTTTTAGTCGCAATGATTTTAGAATGAACAAAACTAGTTTGCAACAATTTTGAAATTAACATAAATAGTGCAAACATTTTTAGTCGCATGGCTTTAGTACGAAACATTTTAAGTTTGCAACAAAATTACACGTGACTTTTTTAGTTTGCGGCAAATTTAGTATGAAACTGATATACTTGGAACATTTTTAGAGCAGAACAAATCAAGTATAAACTAATTAGGCATGACACGATTATAGTAAAAACTAATTGGACATGGTGTAATTTAGTTGAAACATATTAAGTATGTGACAGTTTTAGTGTGAAACATTTTTAGTGTGTAACAAATTAGACATGACACGTTTTTAGTGCGAAACAATTTCAGCATGGTGTGATTTTTAGTACAACATTAATTGAAACATTTCAACTTGAGGTGTTTTTAGTGGAAACAATTTTAGTATGAACAATTTAACCTGTAACATAATTTAGTATGAAACAAAATTTGAACAGTTTTACTTGATAACTAAAACTGAATATTAAAAATGCAAATTAACACAAAACAATAAAAAAGAGCACGTTATATTGATTTTACTAAATATTGTTGGTAAAATAATAATTACCATAACGGAATTAAAATATTGCGGCCGTACTGACTTTTATATTAATAGAATAACGCACTCGCGTTTTTTAAAAAAAGGAATAGTACTGATAAACAGGTCAGCGTGTTAAGTGATTTTCTATAAAAATTTGAATTGTTATTTGAATGATTTTATTATTAACTACAATTAAATTTAAAACTAAAACTAAAATTAAAATTAAAAAAATGGATGATTTTAAGATTATTAAACTCAGTCGTATACCTAATTTATTTAATGAACTTAATAATTCAACTAAATGGAACAATGTAACTAATGGAAGAAAGGGTGCTGTATTGGTTGATTACAAAAATGGGGCAATTCCAATAGTTAGAACCACAACTAAATATGATAATCCAGCACAGCGGTTTTCGCAAATTCATAATCAGATTATCGACAATATAAAAAATAATTGTGACAGTAAAATAGAATTCAACAACGGGTTAATTGAAGTCTATGACGACAATTACTGCAAAATGGGTTACCATTCAGATCAATCGCTAGATCTAGACAGGGATTCATATATCGGCATATTTTCCTGTTATGAAAGTAACGATCCGGTCGGTATAAGAACTTTAATGACTATAAATAAAACGACAGGTGTTAAAACGAATTTTAAACTTGAACACAATTCCGTAATTTTATTCTCATATGAAACAAACCAAAACTATTTGCATAAAATTGTGTTAGAGGACCAAAAACAAAATAAATGGTTAGGTATAACGTTTAGAAAATCCAAAACAATTGTTAAGATTATTAACGGAAAGCCATTTTATGGCGAAAATAAAGAACTAACGCTTGCAACCAGTGAACAACAAAAAGAATTTTATAAACTTAGAGGCGAGGAAAATAAAGGAATTAATTATGAATACCCTGAAATCAGTTACACAATTAGTAAAAGCGATTTAATGGATGTTATGCCTAATTAATTAATGTAACGTGGATGAAAGATTAATATGGTATAAATTATATTGTCAATGCGTTCTTTATTTATTTAATTTATTTAGGACTTTTTATGATTTTAGGTAGTTTTATTTTTGTCATTTTAACGTTGTTTTTTAAGATAAAAAGAGATACCAAAAATTAGGTCAAATTAAATTGCAAAAAAGTGTTAATAAATAAAAAAACATTATTTTAATAAAATGATTAACATAAATTGGCAAAATATTTGATATGACCGGTTAACCGTGTTTGTTTTTTCTTAATTCCTCACCCACCCACCCCAACACATATTAAACAAAAATTGATAAAGTAAAACACTGTATTAAATTGTAAATAATTGTTTAATACAAAAACAAAAAACAACAGGCATGAATTCGGTCGAATTTTTTAGAAATAAATATGTTGACTATACCGACCAAACTTCTAATGAAAAAAGATATAAAAGCGACGGATCAATTGACGATATTATTTATTATCAGTTGGGATTCACATATTACGAAGTAAAACTACCGAAATTGTATGTTCCAGAAGACAGATAGGTCAAAAAAGAATGGTTTTTAGACAAATGAGCAACAGATCAATTACGCCATTCATTTTCTTCAAACCGGGGCATTAAAAAAACTAATTATTAAAAATTATAAGACCGATATTTACACAAACCCGTTTTACAGATTATTTTCTACTCGTTACCCAATTGATAAAAACCAAGATGCCGCATATGAAATAATTCGCATATTAATTGAAAATTATGACGATCGTTACGAGCTGATATCTGAAATAACACCGCGTTAAATGGATTTAGGATTTATTGTTGATATGATGAACGATTGTCTCCCGGTTGACGAAAATAATTTATGTTTTATTTGTCTAAAAACTGAACCGAAAAAAACATTGATAAATCTATGCGAATGTAAATTATTTGCTCACGCTACATGCTTCGTGAAATTAAATGAACACAACCCATTGGATAAATGTTCTGTGTGTAAAGGTAAATATAAAATTAATCAACCTGTCTATTTGACTAAATCTGGGATCTTAATTAAACCGAAAAAAGCAAAAATATTTTTTCTGCACAATGACATGTATCGAAAACCAATGTTGTCGGATGACATCCTGTATAAATTCGAGGGCATGGAAAGATTAGACATGGCAATTATCTATTTGCAAGTTGACAGAGTCAAAGAATTATTACAAGAGAAAGAAAATTTAGATAATCTGTCAAACCACGACTATAGTGGATATAAACAAACACCTGTACATGCGTTATGCATCGGCAATATGCCATCTAATGCAGATCGTACAATGACAATTACAATCGTTATTGTGAAATAAAGATTATTATTAGAAACCCAAAAATTTGACCTAAATCAAAAGGACGTATTTGGCAAAACACCAATGTGTTATGCGAGTGAACATGGATTGATTAGGCTAATGGGCATATTACTGGTGCATATGCGTGTGGACAGTATTTCAGATAACGACCTATTAAAACTACACGAAGTTCTTTATAAATTATGTGATTAAATAAAGAGGGCACGTAATATATATACGGACCAAAGCTTGACGCAGTAATTTAACTCCTGTTTTATATAAAACATTTTTTTATTATAATATTTATTATTTAACATGTTTAAAAAATTGATTAATTTTATATATAATTAAATTTATAAAAAGATTCTAAGCCTAAACAATGAACACAAAAAAGCGATCGTTGAAGACACCAAAAAAAGATGATGAGCAAAAAGTAAAAAAAGGATTAAAAGATCTAAATAAAATTATTGACAATCCTGGAAAATATGCGCAAGAAATACCTGTTAAGAGATTGGTCACTATTTTGCAAAAAATGAGTGATTACTACTATGCAGAAGCTAATTCTTTAGTCGACGACGATGTTTATGATGTTATGGTCGATGTTCTTAAAGAACGTGATCCAAATAACGCATATCTTTTTCAGACCGGAGTTGAAAAAACAACTGATAAAGATGTTGAACTCCCTTATACAATGCCATCTTTAAGTAAAATTAAACCGGGTGATAAGACGTTTAGCAAATGGTTTCAGACTTACAAAGGGCCATACATGATAATGGATAAACTTGACGGGATTAGCGTTCAAATTTATAAGGACGATAGCGGAAATATCGACCTATTTACCAAAAAACAAACAGGAATGGGAACCTCAAAAAAACATCTGTTAAAGTATCTTGTTAGCAAAAAGACTTTGGCAAAAATTCCAAAAGGGGTATCAGTTAGAGGAGAAGTTGTAATATCCAAAGAGGACTTTAAGGGAATTTTAGAACTAGATCCAAATCTTAAAAACCCGAGATCCGCAATGTCCGGATTAGTTAACACCGACAAGATTGATGAGCGGATTGCTAAAAAAGCTCAGTATGTAACATATTCAATAATTTATCCAAGATATGACATTGTTGACCAATTAACAAAATTAAAAGAATGGGGGTTTAAAACCGTATGGCATAAATTACACGATTTTAATGACGAAAAAATAGAAGTGTCAGAGGAAAAACTCAAATATATTCTGACAAAAAGACGCGAGAATTCAGAGTACTTGATTGACGGCCTTGTTATAACCGATGGGAGTAAAATTTACGAACATACAAATTCCGAACCAAAACATTCGATGGCTTTTAAAATGAATAATATGTTAGAAATGAAAGACGCGACCATTGAAGAAATAATATGGGAACCAACAATGTATGGGTATCTTCAACCTATTATCAGAATTAAGCCAGTAATTTTGTCAGGAAACACAAAAGTAACATATGTAACAGCACATAATGCTAAAAATGTCCAAGATAACAAACTCGGTAAAGGCGCTGTTATAAAAATTGTAAGATCAGGTGAGGTTATTCCATCAATTGTGTCTGTTGTTAAATCTGCGAAAACCGCATCAATGCCTGATATTGAGTATAAATGGAATAGTACTAATGTTGAGATAATTGTTGTAAATCCATCGGAAGAAATTCAAAGATTAATAGGAATTAGGCAAAACCACCATTTTTTCAGAAAGCTCGGTGTAAAGTTTTTAAGCGAGGGCATCATCACAAAATTATATGATGCCGGATATAAAACAATTGTGTCAATTGTCGCTGCCGCATCAAAAAAAGACGCCAGCCTGTATGAAATTGCGGGATTAGGTGAAAAAAGTGTTACCAGAATATATGATCAGACTGACAAAGCTTTTTCTGAAATTAAACTTCCCGAACTAATGTCGGGATCCTTAAAGTTTGGTAGAGGTCTCGGTGTTAGAAAAATTCGCGAAATTATCAAGAAGTATCCAAATATTTTAAAAATGAAAGATGACAACGAAGACGACATTTTAAAAAAAGTTTTAACTGTTCCCGGGTTTTCTCAGGTATTGGCAAGCAAGTTTTCAAAAAACCTAAAACACTTTAGCGAATTTTTAGACGAACTAAAAGAAAATTGCGACTATAATCTTGACTTTTTACCAGATAAAGACAAAAAAAAGGTCATTAAACAAAAAAACACATTTGATATGTCTAACGAGGTTATTGTAATGACAGGGTTTCGTAGCGACAATATAATCGAGTTTATCGAAAAAAACGGAGGGTCGGTGACATCAGATATAAGTGGAAAAACAACCCTTGTAATATATTTCGGCAACAAAATTCATTCCAAACTACAAAAAGCGCTAGACAAAGGAATTGCTATAATGAAACTTGAGGATTTTGAAAAAAAATATGGCATAAAAGCAAAAGCCAATAATTAGAGATTTACAGACATAATTAAAGTTGCCAATGTGTTATTTTAGCAAAAAAAGTATTTTCGGGAATAATAAAATTTGCGAATATTTTAGTGAAATTAGTCATTTTCTTTATAATAAAGCGTTGTAATGATTTTTATAAATTTGCCAAATCACGTCATATTAATCGTTTTGAAATTGACTATACATTATGACCTTGTGGTAATGTTGTAACTTGTTTATTATATCTTGTCAGCATTATGCACACATCCTTGAAAAAAAAAATAATAAAAACATATCAGACCATCGCGTATTATATTAATTAATAAGCATAGATTAGATTGCGGCACAATGAAAAGTTAAAATGTGTTTTTTCTAAAATGAACACTCATTATGTTTTAGATAAACTAAATAAAAAAAGAACGAATATTGACATAAAATGGGTTCCAAATACGACATTTATGTTGATTTTTCCAGTAATGCCATTCCTGATATTGTGAACAAAAATGGCACATTTTTACATCACGATAATTGTGTTGTAAAATTCGACAGTGAATATGATGAATGTTCTGTCGTTAAAACCGTCAATTGTCTTAACACTGTTTACAATAAATTGGACAAACATGACAAGTCAAATAGTTTGTCATAAAGGCGATACAGAAAAAACTGGATCTATGAAGTTAAGCGAGTTCGTCAAATCGAAAGGATTATTTGTCAATATTTTAACATTGACGGAAGAGATGGAATGCTAATGGACAATAATTTTGGCGGTAATTGGATTACTATTTATTTTGATCTTGACGCAATTGCCAAATGGAAAAACATGAAATCGGATATAGGTGTTACAAAATACACAAAAGTGATTACAAATATTATCGGAACGTTTTATTTGAAATGTAGCAACAATAAAATTTTTGGAAATTGCGAGGAAATTTGATGCAAACATCAATTGCTGTGACACACTTCAGCTCCTTGCATAGGGACTTTTTTTTATTTTAACTAAAACATTAGGCAACACTATCGACGCGATATTGTAATTTTTTCGCGCTTTTTTAAATAAATGATGTTAAAACACTTCTCTAAAAACGTTAGTTGTGGAAGATTAGGAAAATGCGAACATTATTGTTTTTGGTGATTGTTTACTTCGTACTTTTAATATTGACCAATACAAACACATAAATTATTTAAAAATATTTGTTCTTACACAATTGTGTTAAAACAACAAAAGCAAAATTGCCCCGAAGTCATAAAAAGTCTCAGTCTTCATCCCCAATAAAATTACCTCAAATATATTTTGTCTATAAATTCCATCAATTTTAACAACAAAATTTGTCAGGAGAGGGGAGGAGGACTAAGACGGTATAAATTATATAGTCGGTATACATTACTTTTTATTACATTAATGTAAAATGTAATGACTTTTAATGTTTTTAGATAATTCATTGGAATTTATTTTTTTTGTCATTTTAATGCGATTTATTTATTAAGAAAAATTTTTTATTTTTTTGCGTTTTTATACTGGTTAATATTAAATTTTAAGTCAATAAATTTGCCAAAAACACAGACAACAAAATCCGCTAACATCGATAATGGCAAAAATCTTTTGATATATTCTGTCAACATCGACAATAAAACCCGTCAAATATCGATAACATGATCTGTCATGTCAATATCAATAAAAAAATTTTTTAATATATTCTGCCAACATTTGACAACAAAATCTGTCAATACCAATAATGGCAAAAATCTTTTGATATATTCAGTCAACATCGGTAACATGATCTGTCAGTATCAATGATCGCAAAGATCTTTTGACATTGACAACAAAATCTGTCAACATCAACAACATCAAAAATCTGTTAACACTAATAAAATAAATTTTTTGATATATTCTGCCAACATCGATAACAAAATCTGTTTCTACCAATATCAACAACAGCAAAAATCCGTTAACACTGATAATAGAATAAATCTTATGATATGTTCTGTCAACATCGACAATAAAATTTGTCAACATCATTAATAGCAAAAATCTTTTGATATATTTTGTCAACATCGACGACAAAATTTGTCAATATCATTAATAGCAAAAATCTTTTAATATATTCTGTCAACATCGACAACAAAATCTGTCAATATTAACAACAGCAAATAAATGTTTACACTGATAATAGAATAAATCTTTTGATTCTGTCAACATCGATAACAAAATCTGTATCTACCAACATCAACAACAGCAAAAATCTGTTAACACTGATAATAGAATAAACCTTTTGACATATTCTGTCAACATCGATAACATGATCTGTCAATATCAACAATAAAAAAATCTTTTGACAAATTCCGCCAACATCGATAACAAAATCTGTCAATATCAATAATGGAAAAAATCCTTTGACATTATGTCAACATCGGCAACAGAATCTGCTAACAAAGACAGCATAAACCGTCAATAGTAATAACAGCAAAAATCTTTTGATATATTATGTCGTCGATAACATGGTCTGTCAATAATAGCAAAAATCTTTTGATATATTCTGTCAACATTGATAACAAAATCTGCCAATATCAATAATAGCAGAAATCTTTTGATATTTTCGGTCAATGTCGATAACAAATCTTTCACATTTGGCAAACAAAATCTGTCAACGTTGACAACAAAATCTGTCAACATTGACAAACAAAATCTGTTAATATCAATAGCAGAAATCCTTTGACGTATTGTGTCAACATCGGCAACAGAATCTGCTAACAAAGACAGCATACACCGTCAATAGTAATAACAGCAAAAATCTTTTGATATATTATGTCGTCGATAACATGGTCTGTCAATAATAGCAAAAATCTTTTGATATATATTCTGTCAACATTGATAACAAAATCTGCCAATATCAATAATAGCAGAAATCTTTTGATATTTTCGGTCAATGTCGATAACAAAATCTTTCACATTTGGCAAACAAAATTTGTCAACGTTGACAACAAAATCTGTCAACATTGACAAACAAAATCTGTTAATATCAATAATAGCAGAAATCCTTTGACGTATTGTGTCAACATCGGCAACAGAATCTGCTAACAAAGACAGCATAAACCGTCAATAGTAATAACAGCAAAAATCTTTTGATATATTATGTCGTCGATAACATGGTCTGTCAATAATAGCAAAAATCTTTTGATATATTCTGTCAACATTGATAACAAAATCTGCCAATATCAATAATAGCAGAAATCTTTTGATATTTTCGGTCAATGTCGATAACAAAATCTTTCACATTTGGCAAACAAAATTTGTCAACGTTGACAACAAAATCTGTCAACATTGACAAACAAAATCTGTTAATATCAATAATAGCAGAAATCCTTTGACGTATTGTGTCAACATCGGCAACATGGTCTGTCAATGATAACAAAACCTGTCATATGTTGACAAAACAAAATCTGTTAATATCAATAATAGCAGAAATCCGTTGACGTATTGTGTCAACATCGGCAACATGGTCTGTCAATGATAACAAAACCTGTCATATGTTGACAAAACAAAATCTGTTAATATCAATAATAGCAGAAATCCTTTGACGTATTATGTCAACATCGATAACTTGATCTGTCAATATCAATAATAGCAGAAATCTTTTAACATATTCTGTCAACATCGACAACATGATCTGTTAATATTGGTAACATGATCTGTCAAAATCAATAATAGCAGAAATCCTTTAACATATTCTGTCAACATTGGTAACATGATTTGTCAATATCAATAATAGCAGAAATCCTTTGACATATTCTGTCAACATTGGTAACATGATTTGTCAATATCAATAATAGCAAAAATCCTTTGACATATTCTGTCAACATTGGTAACATGATTTGTCAATATCAATAATAGCAGAAATCCTTTGACATATTCTGTCAACATTGGTAACATGATTTGTCAATATCAATAATAGCAGAAATCCTTTGACATATTCTGTCAACATTGGTAACATGATTTGTCAATATCAATAATAGCAGAAATCCTTTGACATATTCTGTCAACATTGGTAACATGATTTGTCAATATCAATAATAGCAGAAATCCTTTGACATATTCTGTCAACATTGGTAACATGATTTGTCAATATCAATAATAGCAATAATCTTTTGATATATTCTGTCAATATCAATAATGGCAATAATCTTTTGATATATTCTGTCAACATTGGTAACATGATCTGTCAATAGCAAAAATCTTTTGATATATTTCGTCAACATTGACAACAAAACCCGTCAACGTTGACAAAACAAAATTTGTTGATATCAATAATAGCAGAAATCTTTTAGCATATTCTGTCAACATTGGTAACATGGTCTGTTAATATCAATAATAGCAGAAGTCCTTTGATATACTCTGTCAACAGCACAAATCTTTTAATATATTCTGTCAACATTGATAACAAAATCTGTCAACGTTGACAAAACAAAACCTGTCAATATCAATAATAGCAGAAGTCATTCGACATATTCTGTCAACATCGGTAACAAAACCTGCCAATATCAATAATAGCAGAAGTCATTCGACATATTCTGTCAACATCGGTAACAAAACCTGCCAATATCAATAATAGCAGAAGTCCTTTGATATATCGTGTCAACATCGGCAACATGGTCTGTCAATATCAATAATGGCAGAAGCCCTTTGATATATTTTGTCAACATTGGCAAACATGATCTATCAATATCAATAATAGCAAAAATTGTTTGATATATTTTGTCAACATGGGTAACAAAATCTGTCAATATCAATAATGGCAGAAATCTTTTAACATATTATGTCAGCATCGGCAACATGGTCTCTGTCAATATCAATAATGGCAGAAGCCCTTTGATATATTTTGTCAACATTGGCAACATGATATATCAATATCAATAATAGCAAAAATTGTTTGATATATTTTGTCAACATGGGTAACAAAATTTGTCAATATCAATAATGGCAGAAATCTTTTAACATATTATGTCAGCATCGGCAACATGGTCTCTGTCAATATTAATAATGGCAGAAGCCCTTTGATATATTTTGTCAACATTGGCAACATGATCTATCAATATCAATAATAGCAAAAATTGATATATTTTGTCAACATCTGTAACAAAATCTGCCAACATCGATAATGGAATAAATTTTTTAATATATTCTATATTTGACAACAAAATCTGTTGATATCAATAATAGCAGAAATCTTTTGACATATTATGTCAACATCAATAACAAAACCCGTTAATATCAACAACAAAACCTGTCAACGTCAATAACAGCAAAAATCTTTTGATATATTATGTTAACATTGGTAACATGATCTGTCAATAGCAAAAATTATTTGACATATTTTGTCAACACCAATAATAACATAAATCTTTTAATATATTCCATCAATATCGATAGCAAAACCTGCCAACATCGATAACAAAATCGCCAACATCGATAACAAAATCTGTCAATATCAATAACAGCATAAATCTTTTGATATATTCTGTCAACATCAATAACAAAATCTGTCAATATCAATAACAGCATAAATCTTTTGATATATTCTGTCAACATCAATAACAAAATCTGTCAATATCAATAACAGCATAAATCTTTTGATATATTCTGTCAACATCAATAACAAAATCTGTCAATATCAATAACAGCATAAATCTTTTGATATATTCTGTCAACATCAATTACAAAATCTGTCAATATCAATAACAAAATCTGTCAATATCAATAACAGCATAAATCTTTTGATATATTCTGTCAACATCAATTACAAAATCTGTCAATATCAATAACAAAATCTGTCAATATCAATAACAGCATAAATCTTTTGATATATTCTGTCAACATCAATTACAAAATCTGTCAATATCAATAACAAAATCTGTCAATATCAATAACAGCATAAATCTTTTGATATATTCTGTCAACATCAATTACAAAATCTGTCAATATCAATAACAAAATCTGTCAATATCAATAACAGCATAAATCTTTTGATATATTCTGTCAACATCAATTACAAAATCTGTCAATATCAATAACAAAATCTGTCAATATCAATAACAGCATAAATCTTTTGATATATTCTGTCAACATCAATTACAAAATCTGTCAATATCAATAACAAAATCTGTCAATATCAATAACAGCATAAATCTTTTGATATATTCTGTCAACATCAATTACAAAATCTGTCAATATCAATAACAAAATCTGTCAATATCAATAACAGCATAAATCTTTTGATATATTTTGTCAACATCAATAACAGCATAAATTTTTTGATATATTCTGTCAACATCAATTACAAAATCTGTCAATATCAATAACAAAATCTGTCAATATCAATAACAGCATAAATCTTTTGATATATTCTGTCAACATCAATTACAAAATCTGTCAATATCAATAACAAAATCTGTCAATATCAATAACAGCATAAATCTTTTTGATATATTTTGTCAACATCAATAACAGCATAAATCTTTTGATATATTCTGTCAACATTAATAACAAAATTTGTCAATATCAATAACAGCAAAAATCTTTTGATATATTCTGTCAACATTAATAACAAAATTTGTCAATATCAATAACAGCAAAAATCTTTTGATATATTCTGTCAACATTAATAACAAAATTTGTCAATATCAATAACAGCAAAAATCTTTTGATATATTCTGTCAACATTAATAACAAAATTTGTCAATATCAATAACAGCATAAATCTTTTGATATATTCTGTCAACATTAATAACAAAATTTGTCAATATCAATAACAGCAAAAATCTTTTGATATATTCTGTCAACATTAATAACAAAATTTGTCAATATCAATAACAGCAAAAATCTTTTGATATATTCTGTCAACATCGATAATAAAATCTGTCAACATTAATAACAAAATCTGTCAACATTAATAACAAAATCTTTTGGAATATTTAGCCAATATTAACAAAAAATCTTCCGACGCAATATGTCAACATTAATAACAAAATCTTTTGGCATATTCTGTCAATATTAACAAAAAAATTTTCCGGCACAATTTGTTAAAACCGATAATATAATCTGTTGACATTAACAACAATCTTATGGCATATTCGGTCAATATCAATAAAAAAACCTGTTGACAATAACAACAGAGGATGGAAGACTAAGAAAATGCGAAGTTGGCTTGTATTCGGCATCTGTTTTTAATAAAGATCCACGTTTGGATTATTTATAAGCATATTAACCATTATATCACTTTTTAGTGACTGTGCTGAGCAGCACGGTGCAAAGGCGTTAATCCAAAAAAATTAACGGCATTAATGTCTGCATGTAATTTCACATTCATAAAATCATTAATTTTCGTTGTGGTAGTATTAGTATTATTGTTAAGAATTATTTTGACTAATTCCTTATATCGACACTCCTCGACAACCTTGTGCAATAAGGTGTTTAAAAACTTGTTTTTCGAGTAAATTGCCGCAATGTCTGGATAATTACTGATTAAACCAGTAAGAATTTGACTATTTATTAATTGATTAGATAACTCATACAACAATGTGTTGCCTTTATTGTTGCGAAAATTCAAATACCGTGCATCAATTTTTATTATTTGTTGAATAATTAACTCAATCAATTTATTTAGAATTGTTAGAATTACTATGGCATCACACTCGTCTTCTAAAAATGTTTTGCTGATGTGTCCAAACAGTGTTCTCTGAGACTGAGACTGTGACTGTTACTTTCCGCTTTGTTTATGTTTTCGCTAATATTATGATAGCTAAACAATCATTAATTAGTTCCTCTTTTTTGTGTCCGGCGTTTTTCTTGTAGCCCAATTCAAGCACCAATGTTGCAACTGACACATATTTTGAAATAATTTCATATTCATTATACAGATTTTTTAGGTCATTTGATCCAATAAGCATCAATTTAATGGCATTGTCCCCATTTTTGTTTCCAATATTTGTTTGGGCGCCGTACATTAATAATAGTTTTGCGGCATCCTTACAATTTTCAATCAAAACACGATTCAATAATGTGTTGTGGTTTGAGTCGACCATATTTAAATAATTATGGTCAACACAGACTATTGTTTTAATTATTGTTTCAAAACGCCGTTATGTCAAAAATTTTATTACCAATTAATCCTATTTGCCCATTGAATGCACGCATCAGATCAGATATTTGATATAAAATTGGCGTATCGGTGTTGTTATTGTTATCGTCACCCGGTACAATAAAATTTGTTGAACATGAATTTGCTGATTTTTCCATTTTTATTATATTATTGGTTTAATCAACCTATTTAGTTAGCTGTAGGCAATATCAAAATTTAAGGTATAAATAGGTTATGGGTTTTTTAATTTTTGCAAATAACTCTTCTAAATTTTCCGACAATTCGCACAATCGTTCATATCCATACTTGTTAAAAAATAGTTATTTTTTTGTTTCAATTAAAACATAAAACTATTATCTAACCGCCCAATTTTTATGTCAATATAATATATTTACTCATGTAACCCCAAACTTTGCCCAATGTAAATTATATTATATTTGGTCAATATAAAACAAAAATAAAAACAGTTAAATAACTGTCCAATTTTTTAATGTAAAAAGGTGTAATGACGCAATCAAAACATGAAAAAAACTTTAAAATGATTAAACACGGTGAATGGAATTTTGAATATAGCCCAAAACAAAACATTTTTACAACAAGTATTGAGTCTTTCGAAAAAGGTCTTTTTCAACGGGAACTCGGTGAGGATTGCTTAATTAATCTTACCGAAAACGATTTAGACGACTTTAGAAGGGCATCGGTGATTCACAAGATCGCAAGAAAAAAAGCTTTGTCGATGTTATATTCCAATGGCAAACTTGCCGATCTTGTCGATGCTGTTGAAGAAATTATATTAAAATTATGTAATCAAGATCCAAAAACTTACTATTTACACGGTTCCCATAAAAATAACAGTTCGGGTCTTGCATTTCCAGTAGGTGTAAATATTAACAATATCGTTGCACACGATTCTAAAATTGTCAATCAAAATGGCAAATCAGACCAAAGAATTTTCTTTAATGGTGATGTGGTCAAAATTGACATCGGAGTCCACATTAATGGGAGAATCATTGACTCTGCATTTACGCATATCGTAACTGATAAACCGGGAGTCCACGACTCAGATAATATCTATAATCCCGTTCTCGATGCTTCGAGAGACTCAATGTTTAATGCTGTTAAAATGGCTGGTCCGGACCAAAGACTCGATGAAATTAGTGAATGTATTGATGAAATTATTAGGTCATATGAAGTAACGATGGGTAGCAATGAAATAACCATACCCATTAGACCCGTTAAAGGTATTGGTGGTCATAATATTAAACAATATCAGATTCACGGGGGTAAGCTAATTTTGAGCCATTCATAAACTATATGAATGGCTCAAAACCAGAAATGGACTTCCCTTTTCGTCATCATGGATTGATCAAAAATCAATACGTCGAGTCGACAAAGCTTTAAAACTCGGTATTCCATCGGGTCAGTTATTAGCGTTTCCCCCATTATTTGATGAAAATAACTCGGTTGTTGCCCAATTTGAACACACAATTCATGTTAACCAAAACTCTGTAGAAATATTGTCTCTCGGTGAAGATTATTAAGTCTTGTAATATTTTATTGCCAATGTATTCTTTTTTTATTTTTTTTACCTAAAATGAAAAAGACTTTGTGGTTTTAGGTAGTTTTTAAATTATTCACATATTTATATTGATCAATATTAAAATAAAATAAAATAAAATAAAATAAGCAACGTGACCCCCAAAATTTGAATTTATAATGTTATGGTATTTGAAAATAACAAAAATCTAAACTCAGATAATATATCAGAATGCAAAGTGTTTGTGATCTAGAAAACAGAAGATATCATTCAGTTCCATTTGTTTTATTGGACTACTCTGGATCGGTTCATAAAACTTTTGATAAAAGTATTTCCGAAACTATTTTAGGTCGTTTAATAGTTATTTTAAAAGAATTATCTATTAATGACAATTTTACTGATATTGATATCGTATATTGGTCAAAATTAGCCTCAACTGTAAAACGTGTTAAAGTCAAAGATCTTGACTATCTTTATGTAATAAACAATTGCGAAATTGAGTCTTCGACAACCGAAATTATTCCCGCATTAAAAACTTTTAGGAATAATATTAACAAATATTCTGATAATTCTGATAATTCTGATAATTCTGATAATTCCGAAAATATTTATCACAGACTTTACATACTAACGGACGGGGAAATAAATGACGGTAAAAAAAAATTATACAATGAACTTGATTTTATTAAAACTAACCATAAAAATATCGAAATTAGATTAATCATACTTGAAAAAAACGATAGTGACTATTATGAAAGCTACTGTAAAATCGGAAATCGTCTTATTTGCGCCGCAACAACTCTCGGAATGCACAGCTTTTTTAAGTATATCTATCTTTTTAACAAAAAATTCAGCACATTGAAAAACAAATTTGTTAATCTCTATAATGCCGATCTTCCAAAAGAGTATATACAGTACGATGACAAATGTTTCCATATTAACGACTATCCGGAGTTTTTAGGAAACATTTCAAGAGAAATCATTAACCTAAAAACTATAATAGGCCACAATGACAATGACAATGACAATGACAATGACGATGACGATGACAATGACAATGACAATGACAATGACAGACATTATAATACGGAATTTGGAAAACTCGAAAAAATTGGCTACAATTTGGTTAAAACAATTAAAGATTTAGAAAAGGCGTCGGCAAAAAACACGAGATTTAACAAGAGACAGACTATTGACTTTTATTGTAATTTAATTGGAATTGACGAAATTACCAATTTATTAAAACACGAGCTAATATATGGAGTTGAAAGTAGTACTTTCCAAGACTACAAAAAACGCAGATCCGATCTTTTTAGCAATACTCAGTTAGAAATGTACCAAAATCTACAATCAATACTTTGCAATAGGTCTTTTCCAATCTTTTACACATCATTTATCATTGACGATAACACAATATACGATATCGAGGCTACTGATATTGAACATTCTATTAATATTGGTGTTAGGGAATATAATAATTCTGCAATATACGACCCTAATAAAAAAATATTGGTCCCGATTATTCCTATTCAAGATAATCTGACATCAAAAATGAAGCAGGCATTAAGACAATGGATCCGTGCTATTTATTCACAAAAGTACGGTATTCCGGCAAGTTCGGATTTAATTCATTATACTTTTTTAATTGATAATATGTATATTCAGTGTTCAAACCTTCCTGATGACATTAAAAACGCTTATAGTGTTTTTTCAAAAGTAATGCTCGATAGGGTTAGATATGGAGAATCAATTAAAGAAATAGACTATCTTTCTAAAGGACATGAACCTAAACCAATTGGCTCAAACAAGTCCTTTGAACAATTTTTAGCAAGTTGTCCAAATTATCCTGTTTTGCAATTGTCCGATAATGACAATGACAATAAAATACAGCCAATAACTATATGGTTTATGATTATGGCGTCTATTTGCAAAAATAACCATGAAATCATGTTTACGCAGTCAAAATACTTTTTTGACAATTATAACAATGTAAAAATAGATGTATTAGGTACTAATTTTGAATATTTTGGTGGTTACCACGGATCATTCGATTCCTATATAACAGGTATACTAAAAATTGGGCAACAATATTTACCAACATACACTAATTTTAAGATTTGCAAAATTAAAATTAGCGATAAAATTATTACACCAAACTACTATTGTTTCATCACTCTTAATGAAACATCAGATACTGGGGGATACATGTTTTATCCTCATAAAAATACTGACAATAAATTATGTCGTCCTAATTATGTTATATCAAAAGAAGCGTATGATGTGTATGTATTGGGCACTGTTGAATTGAGATGCCCGTATTGCAATACTGTCATGGACACAAAAAAAATGGACAAAATTGAACCAGTGAATGAGTATAACCAGAAAACCGATGTTGTTAAAAATAACAAAATCTACAAAAGAGTCGAGGTTCGCAATAATTTTACCAATTCTAACGAGCTGATCGAACTGAATGAATTAGATTTTTCAAATAACAACACTCATAAAGTGTTCTTTAAAGATCATATTGTTTTGGGAAGTATAATGAATAACTATAGTGTTATAAGATTTGATACCAAAGACATGCAATCTGAATTTAATGCAAAGGTTCCTAAGTTTATGTCCAAAATATGTTGGGATAATGTTGTTGTGGCTGGCGGAATGTGTAGATCAATACTATTAAACCAAATTATTCAAGACATTGACATATTTTTTGTCGGACTTGACGAAGACGGAATTAAGAACCGTATTATGTCATTAATTAACGACATAATTGTTGCTCTCCAATCAGAAGATGAAGATCACAGATTTATTCTTATGTACAAACCCCTATATTGTGTGGTAGAACTCCTCTGTACAAAGTCAACTTTTAATGATGATGTAAATGTAAATGTAAATACCAATACTAATAGTTATGACAATTTAGCAAAATCACAGTTTATTAGTAATGAAATTATACATAAAATACAAATTATTATTAGGGTAAATAAAGACATTGAACAAATTTTCGATAATTTTGATATGTATCCGTCGTGTGTGGCATTTGATGGAAAATTAACCTATTTTACAGAGGCATCTTACATATCATACAGATATATGATAAATATGATTGTCAGAGAAAAAGCATGTCATGCCACATATGACGTTAGATGCCTGAAATACTACAAGTACGGTTTTTCCTGCGCTCTAGAAAAGAAACATATCAAATCTGATATATTAAACGAAATTAAATCGCCACCCAAAACAATTAAAATCGGTAATTGCCTGTTTAACACAATTCAAATAAATATGTCAAATTTAAGATACATCCCGATTAGCAAATTTAAATTGGCTAAACAAGAACAATCGACCAAAAAAACAAATAATGTTGTTGATGCACCCTTACCTTCAATGTACGAAAGTTTTGATGGATTAAACACCAATATGAATGGACTTTATAATTACATAACAAAAAACAACATAAAATATTGTTATGTATCGGGAAAAATCGAGGAAAACGAAGTAAATGATGTTCTTGATTGTAATAAATTAGAATTTCTGCAACATAGGAGAGACATCAATGCTTATGATTGGTATAATAACAACCGTATTTCTGTTTATCAAAATGACAAAATATAATTATATTAAAATAATTATATTAAAATAATTATATTAAAATAACTATATTAAAAAGAATGAAACTATCGGACGTATTTAATATTTCAAATAATCCGGGAAGTATGAGTTTGGCGAAGATTTTACTGATATACTATCTTTTTGTAATGTCAAATTGTACGGAAAACCTAATGTCGAATCAAACAAAAGAATTTATAAATAATAGTCGTTATGCACAACATGTTATTGGATTGATGTTGATGTTTGTGTTGATCACATTATTCAATGAGCAAATAGAATCACCAAATGCATTTGTATATGCTATTATAGGATATGTTATTTTTGTATTTAGTACAAAACTTGACATACATTGGAATATGGTCATAATAATTTTATTATTTATTGGGTACTTATTAGATATATCATGCAGAAAAAGGGAAAACGAGATAATAAATGATAAAAATCTTGGTGAAACAAACAAAGAGGAACTTTTAAATAAAGAAATAAACTATAAAACATGGGCAGTTGGATGTGTTGTTGTGGTAATAATTATTGGAACTCTTTTTTACTCACATAAAAAACATGAACAGTATGGTGGAGGATATGACTTATTTGTCTATTTTTTAGGAAAATAACAGTTAATTTAACAAAAAATTGAACACAATAGAACTTAAATTTGGATGTCATTATAATTATTTGACAACAGCATATCATATCATAATATAATATAATGAAAATTTTGCAGTATAATATTTATTTTGGAAAACACCCCGGAATATCATTGTCCGACAGATTTCAAAATGTGTGTAACTGTATTTTGGAGCAAAATGCCGATGTGGTGTGTTTACAAGAAGTTTTGCGCGATTATTACGATTTAATAACAGCTTTACTTATAGATGTTTATCCTTATGCATATCCTAGTATACAAAATGGAATTGGGACATTATACGGAACAGCGATTTTCAGTAAATACCAAATTAATTTTGCAACTACGTACAAATTTGAGATTACAAATATGGGGAGAGACATAAAGTTAGTTATTGTAAATGACAGTAAAAATAACACGTATTGTATTTGCAATGTTCATTTTGAATCCGAGTTTGACAAATGTATGAAAAAGATCTATCAATACATGAGATGTTCCGACATTCTTTATCAATTAAATAAAAAAAAGAAAATCCCCATAATTTTGTGCACGGATTCAAACATTTGTGCAGAGTCGTCAAAAGCTTTTTATAGTTCATTTACTAATTCCAAAGGATGGAACGACGCATGGATAAACAACGGGTCTTTAAAAGATAATGAATTCACTTTTGATTCAGAGTCAAACCAAATATTAATTACCCGATACGGCAATACCAAAAGTACAAAATACGGTCAAAAATACAGATCACGCCTTGACAGAATATTATATCTTTCGAATGTTGATTTAAAAATTACCGATTTTAAGTTGGTCGGTGTAAATGATAAATATATTCTTTCTGATCATTATGGGATCTTTTGCGACATTTTACATAAAAACTAGTTCGTTTATTTTTTTATTATAATTAATACAATAATAAAACCATGTTGATTTTTATAAATACACATATTTTACGAATTCAATAAAAAATTGTCAAAAAACAAAAATAAATTAGTTAACATATTGAAATTTGGTACCAAGCATAAGGCCTGAATTTTTTGTTGAACTGCCAATTTACACAACATGTATGTTTTAAAAATTATATGTGTTCCAATACCAACCCATTACGTCGAACAGCTGATTCGCATATTTCATCAGTCTGATTTTTTACGTATCGTAAAGCTAAAGGGTTTTTGTTGAACAGCCAATTTGCATTTTTTTATCCGTTTGCAATTTTATATATTCTAATACCAAGCCATTTAACTGAACAGCTGATTTGCATATTATATATCATCGGTCTGTAATTTTGCGTATTTTAACGCCAAACTGTTTTGCCGAATAGCTAATTCACATATTTTGTCAGTCTGAAATTTTACGTATCTTAATGCCAAACCATTTTGCTGAACAGCCAATTTACATATTTCGCCAGTCTGAAATTTTACAAATTGCAATGCAAACCCGTTTTGTAGAACAGCTAATTCGCATATTTTATCTGTTTGATTTTTTACATATTGTAGTGCCAAACCATTTTGTTGGACAGCTAAAATAACGTTTTCATTTGTCTGTTTTTTCACAATTTGCAAAACCAAACCACAACGTCGAATAGCCAAATCGCAGATTTCGTCAGTCTGTTCTTTTGCAAATTCCAGAGCCCACTCACTTTGTTGAATTGCTAATTTATTCAACTTGTCTGTTTGATTATTTACATATTTTAATGCCAATCCATTTTGTTGTACCGCTAATTCGCACAATGGGTCTGTTTGATTATCCACATATTCTAGCGCCAATCCATTTATCTTTATAAAAGTTAATATAGTTGCAATTTTATTTTTATTGTGGCAAATGTTGTTATATCCGCAATGTTTAACAAAAGCACTATCGTACATTCTTTTTTATTGTTTTTGGGTTAAAATGTTACATGCTAATGTCGTTTCATATCATACTAAAACCATTTCTGTCAAAAACGCCGAAGTGTAAGTATAAGTATAATTGTTTTGAGTCAAAGCGGTTACACTGTAATTTTGTTTCATACTAAATCCGTTTCATATCAAATTTGTTTCGATAGTGGAAGATTGGGATGGGATGGCATAAATTGTATTATATTATATTATATTGTCAATGTACATTCTTTTTTATTAAAAAAGGTGATATTTTTATGTTGTTTACGTTTTTAATGATAATGTGAAAAGTCGTCTCATTTAGATAATTTAGGTTGTCTTAACTTTAGAAAAAATTGAAAAAATATTTTTATGTGAACATTATTTTTAATAGAATCAAATATTACTTCGAATTACATAACACCATAATATTGCAATATGTCGCGCATCGTTAATGTTCAGGACGAAAAATCTGATGACAAAACTAAAAAACGTGTGTCCCGTAACCGTAAGACTGTTCCAAAAAACGCAAAAAAGAGTTCTGATGTAATTGAACATATTGATGACAGTGAAATCAATGAAAATAATGAAAATAATGGAATAGACGAAAATTCCAAATCAGACAAAACTAAAAAAAAAGTCACAAAAACTAAGGTAAAACCAAAGACTACGAAGAAAAATGCCCAAAAAGAGAAAATAACCCAATTAGAAAGTGAAAACAACACATTGCAAAAAACCGAGTCTGAATCTGAATCTGAATCTGAAAAGGAAAAAGTAAAAGTTGCAATTACGGAAAACAATGATGACAATAATAACAATAAAAGTGACGAAACTGGGAGTGAAAGTGAAAGTGAAAGTGATAGTGAGAGTGAGAGTGAGAGTGAGAGTGAGAGTGAGAGAGGTAAGAGTAAGAGTGGGAGTGAGAGTGAAAGTGAAAATGAAAGTGAAAACGATGTTGCTAAATGCGGTAACAGCGGTGGAGACGAAACAGTTGAAAGTGTTAAAGGCAATAATAAGGAAAATTCGTCTAATTCAACTATAACAAATGCGAATACTCGTGCTAAAACCGTAAAATCATTTCGTCCTTTTGGAAAGACTTACCATCATAACCACAAAAGTGATGACAATAACAGTATCAATGAATATAGTACATGTGATACAAAAAATCCTCGCAGGCATCGTACTTCTCTTGGATTTGACTATCAGGAGTGTATTGAACAAAATGGCATCCGTAAATTAAAAGATTGTAATACTGAAACTATTTTAAAATATCTGATTGCATCAACTCATTTTGAAGGTCATGAAAAAAAAGACTTATGTGGTGTTTTTAAAAATACATTGACAGGTATAAAAGGAGAAACTAAACTCCCGTTCTTAACTATTAGGGGCAGAGATCAAAATCAAAATCAAAATCAAAATCAAAGGCGAAATCACAGATACAGTAAAAGGGATGACCAAAGACGTGACGCGGAAAATGGCCAAAGGGGTGACCGAAGGGGTGGCGATGGCACAAGATATGATCAAAGATATGACCAAAGGGACGACCAATTTGATAGTCAAAGAGATAATCAAAATTATGACCAAAGAGATGGTGCAATAAGTAGACATGACAATCATCCAATTGACGAATTCAACGATGATAGCTATAGAAACAACGAATATCAAAGAAATAGTTCTAACAATTATTCTAGAAACGGGCATAATGGTTATGTTAGGCACGGTCCAAGGAATAATCCGAGAGGACGTTCAAAAGACCGTCAAAGAAATAATTCAATAGATCTGCAACGAAATAGTTCAAGAGATTACCGACGAAACGATTCAAGAGATTGTTATAGAAACAACTCAAGAAATCGCTATAGAAATAGTTCAAGAGATCGCCATAGAAATAGTTCAATAGATCGTCAAAGATATGGTGCTGGTGTTGGTTCTGGTGTTGGTGCTGGTTCTTCTGGTTCTGGTGTTGGTGCTGCTGGTAATAGATCAAGATATGACAAAAATGACGACTCGTTTGACGGTACAAGGAACGAATCGGTCGCTAAATCAGTTAATTGTCCTGAAAATAAATCGAAATCTGACCAATATTAGGGTTTTGAAGTAACAACATAAAGTAATAATTGAAAAAATAAATTTGCAAAAACAGGAATGGAAGAAAAAGCGGCCATGTTTCAACAGTAAACAAAAAAGAAAATGTAATCATGGTTAACCAAATCTGTTTTTATTTTATTAAAAATTATGGTTTAATTTATTTATTAATGTTGGTCAAAAAACAAAATTACCTAAAATCATAAAAAGTCGTTTCGTTTTAGACGAATTAAATAAAAATTGACATAATATGACTCACTAAAATCAATAGTTAAAAATAAATTTGCCAATAATTTGTGTTTTGGATTTACACCGTTGAAGATTTAAAATGCCGATTTTTTTATAAAACAACTTTAAAATTAAAACTCATCAGTTAAGGTTGTCGCCTTAACAAAACCATAATTTACACGCTCTGCAACGGGCAAACCTTAAAAATTTTTTGTTGAGTATATTCGGCATTTTAAATCTTCAGGGGTGTAAACAATGATGCCTGGTTTGGTCATATATCGCCTGCTTTATTATTAAATAAAAAAACCGAGTTTTATCAATTTCTTGATGATGAGTTTAATCAAACTGGATGCGACGGTTTGCATGCCTATACATATGGACCAAATAATAGCAATTTGTGCGATTTGTATTTTTTAATTTATATGGGGCTATTGGTATTTTACAATCAGGCGACGATAAAATATATCACAATCGTCGAAATACCAGATAGGTCTATTGTCACATGCAGTTTCACGATTTTTGGTATTTGGTGTTGGGTACCTACTTTTAGCACCAATGGGTTTAAAGAAATATTTAGGTACAGCAGTTTTTTAAAAAAATATTTACTAGATCCAATAAATTATAATGGACAATATCCAATAGATTATAATTATAATGGACATATAGAAGACAAAAAATTTCGTGATTTTGCCACTCGTATGTACGCACAAATTTCCGATTACGAGGTCACGGAAAAAATGGGATAAATTAAAAAAATAAGTCGATATTTGTGGAACAAAATTGGGAGAATCTTGAAAATGTCGGAAAAGATTATCAGACAGAGGAAATGTGCGAAACGGCAGTTAAAAAATGTTACAATGCCTTGAAATTTGTCGACGTAAATTTTAAGACAGATAATTTATGCAAGATTGCTGTTATGCAAAGTTCGGCATTAATACATGTTCCGAAAAAAAACATGTTGAATAATTTTTTTTTTGTTTCTAAATTCTATTTTATGACTTTTTTTATATCAATTAAAACAAAACTATCGCTAAAACGACCATTATGATAAATTTAAAACATTGTCGCTTTTTCGATTTTTATGTCGACAAAACAAACATGTTTGTATTTTTTAAAAAACCAATAAGATCTCAAATATTATCGATGTTAGCAGAAATTGGCAGTTTTTGCTATCAATGTTCGTGGAAATCATTGATGTCAACAGATTCAATTGCCGATTTTGAGCAAAGTATCAACATTGTGAAAAGTTGAATATCGTATTAGCCTGAATAACCCATTTATTATGTTTGATAAGTACCCAAAATTTAAGTACCCATATTTTCCGTTTAAATGAACGATATGAATAACATCTTTTTTATAAACAAGAATACCACATCAGGTGATTTAAATATTATGAAAGCTTTATACGTTGATACAATTGGACTGGGGGAACTTGAACGTGTTAATAATTTTATCGATTTAATACAAATACTTAGGCGAATGTATACTGAAGAAATAGCATACAGTAACGAATATCTTTCCAATTTATTAACAAATATTGGAAGAGTGGATTTAGCCGACAAATTCGTTAAATTGAAACGCGACGTAATGCCGGAAAAATTTATTGATAAATATAAAAAATCTGCAGAAGACCTAAAAAAAGAACTCGATTGCGATGAAATGTTAAAAACTAGTAAACTGATCGGTGAATATTGGATGGATTTTGCCGCCATTTGTGGTTTGAACATATCGGCATTTAACGACAAAAATGGTTATAACAACAAGGCTTATGAAGTAATTGAACAGTGGAAGAAACGTAAAGGATATGTGACACGGTGGATGGTTATCAGTGTTCTTGAGAGAATAGATCAACATGATATAATCGAAAAATATTTGGGCAAATTTTAAGAACCCATTCATTTTTTATAAATTGAGGTCAGCTTTGCTTGCTTGCTTACAGGTGTTGTGTTGTTTTGTTTATCCTTTTTTGAAAACCGCAAATATAATATAATATAAAAGTCAATTGTGGAAAATTTTTAATTTAATCACGGTAACAATTATTTTTTTATTTTTTAATATTTTGCCAATAATTGTAACAAAAAATCACAAAGGTCATTATTGGTGTTTTAACACAAAGTCCATGTAATTTATAAAAAAGAATGTGATTTGACAAAAAATCGATCCAAATGATTAATCGTGTTTTATTATTAAATATCAAGACTACCATCAGACTCATTATCAGTGTCGTCTTTTTTTTCTGGGTCTGGGTCTGTGGCTGTGGTATCGGTATTGTCTGACTCATACTTATTGATCGCGTTACTGCGCGAATTTTTTTTTCTTATTCGCATACTAGATAAAATCGATGCATTGTCTGAACTATCTAGTGATTCCAAACTAATGTCAGTATTGGTTTCATTGTTTTTTTTATTGAATCGTACAACCTTTTTATTACGAGGTTTGTGGTGTTTTATTTTTGTTTTTGTTTTATTTGATTCAACATTTGGTTGTTTCGATTTTTTTCTATTTTTATGTCTTTTGTCACATTTTACGCAGAAATTAGCTGGATTATCTAATCTTGTTTGATACCAATAAATAAAACATCCGATCATTATTAAGATAATCAATACGTAAAGCTTGTCATTGCCGCTGGTTTCAGACATCTTTTAAAAATATGGTTCTTATACTGTAAAAACTTATTTTATATGAGTATTGTTCGCCACAAAAATCTTAACGCGTTTTTTTTATTTATTTGATTCAGCCTTCGTCTTCGTAATTTGCTTCATCGATATCGTTTCTTTCATTGGTATTAACACCATAATCGGTATCCCCTATGTCCATGTCTTCAGCTGGATCATCAATGCTGTCAATATCTGGATTTGCATTTGCATTTACATTTGCATTATATCGATATCGCCTGTCTGTCATTCTTCTAGAATTAGAATTAGAATTAGAATAGGTTTTGTCTTTATAATTTAGATCACGACCTCCTATATACGTGTCAAATGTTGCGCCAATCTGCGTACTAAGTTTTTTGGTCAATTTTTTGTTGTTTTTTTGTATACATTCATCTAAAGACGATTTGACATAGTATCTCATTACAACAGTATGAACAACAAATAACGCAATTATGATGTAAAAAAGGGTTTGGATATCTAATGTAAAGCCCATTGGCGTAATAATTTTATACTAAATTTATTTTGTCGATTTTATAACACAGTTATAATAATTAAAAAACGGTTATACGTGTTTTATTCCAACACAATTAATTTCATCGTCATCATTTTCTTTGTTTGCATAAAGATTTAAATGGCAGTCGACTGCAGATTCCCTTATAGCTTGTTCAAATTTCTTGATAATCTTGTTCTTTGTGTCCGACAACTTTTTAATATATTGGTCGACTGTGATTTTCTCATTGCGATGCATCGCAATATAGACATATACTTTTACGTTACGCTCATTTTCAGGTAAATCAATATGAGAGCAAAATCTACTTGCTCTTCCGACAACCTGATCTAATCTTGATTTGTTCCAATATGGTTCAAAAACATGCACACTTCTAACACCCTTAAACGAAACTCCTTCTTTAATAGACGGGCTTCCAAGAATCAATTTAAGTTTATTACCGTAGATATTATCGGTTCTGTTATACACTTCGCGAATCTCGTCTTTAAATTGAACCGACTCATCACCTGACCAAACAGCAAAACGTTTTTCCCCGGGGCCGTGTTTTTTGTAGTTTTTGTAACCATTAGCTTCAAGAACTTGAACAGCAGCTCTTAGTCCAGCATGCTCTTTGAATCCGGAATATAAAAACGCTTTGCCTTTTGAACGACGTATGTTTGAAATAATTTTGTCTAGTTTACACGAGTATTTTGCTAGTTTTGATTGTATTCTCTCAACGGTAAAAGATTCTAATCCCTGATCACCGACTTTTTTGTTTGGATAAACGATATTAGACACAGACCTTGTACCAATATAGAAATTGTTTGGAAGATTGGCCGCATAAACAATGTCTTGTTTTGACGGGACTCTTAATAAAGGTTCTATACCTTCTTTTTTTAACACCCTTTTGTAAATACTGTATTGAAAATCACTCATTTCACATTCGACATATTTGATTGTCATAGTTGGAAATGTGTATGAAGGTGCACCCATATAGTACGACACATAGCCTTTTATCATATTTTTAAACAAATCCATGTTTTTAACTTTGTAATGGGTTTTGCTGTTGACTCGGTTTTCTTTAATAAAAAGGCGCTCAAACTCTCGTCCTGTCGGTATTGATTTCGGTAGTCGTAATAAATTCATTGTTAGGGCGATTTCAACTGGTTTGTCAAACATCGGTGTTGCAGACATCAGAATTATTCTTAGATCTTCGCTACTGTTGTGTAACAAACTATAAAGTTCTTTGTAGTAGGTCCCTGTTTCAGACACCATATTTTGGATTTCGTCAATAAACAATATTGAATCATTTAATTTTATTGATCCCCTTTTTGCTTTCTCAATAAATTTATTGTACGAGTATATGTTGTAATATTTTTCAATACGTTTATTCGATTTTTTGATAATATCGTTATATTCATTATTACCCGGTTGCAAAGTGGACAGTTTCTTTCGTTCTATGGGTTTAAGATATTCATTGCCTCCGCATAGACCGCGTAATTCGTCTAGAAAATTACCTTTTAACGACGCAGGCAAAACAAATATTATCTTTTTTATCTTTTTCCATCTTTCAGCAATCTGAATCGCGGAACACGTTTTTCCGGCGCCGATTCTATGATATATAAGAATTGACTTGTAGGGAGTTTCTGGATTAATGTATTCGGGTAAAAACTGTTGTGGTCCCTGAAGTGTAAATTCCCGGGGTTTGCAATAATTTTCAATTGAAAGTTTTTGTTGGGGAATCTTGTATTTTTTATATAAACGACTAATTTTATCATAGAACTCGTTGTCTGTCACTAAAGGATAACGACTCATTATATTATATTGTTGTGATTATTATACTAATATCAGATCTTTTTGTAAAATCGCGGAATTATAAGACATATTAAATAAGGTGCATTTTGACATGATAACATACATGCCAGGTTTTATTTTAGCGGAACTAAATAATCCGGTAAATTATTAATATTAAAGGCTTTGATAAATTTGATTAAGATCGTGTTAAAATAAAAAATAAAAGGCGATAGTGTTTTTAAATCCTATTTTTTAGAAAAAACATCACAAAAAATTTGATTATTATATTTATTGGCTAATTATCAACTTAACGACAAAACAACAATATATCACAGACATGCCAAACTTAAAAACTACTACTTCGAAAACAGAAAGTAATAAAAGTAAAAACGAAAACATAATTTTTTCTAATGATAAAAATGATAAAAATGTTGGCAATGCCAAAAATATTGAAAAGAATAAAATTAATGTTTCGGCCATTGACAATGAAGTAAATTGTGATGATGCAAAAAAAACTGGATTTCGCCCTACTAAACCCAATCGTATGGCCGGTGTTGAAAAAGGGGGTGCGGCAAATATAAATACCGCGTATATTAATGGGACATTTAACGTAAATAACGCAAAAAAATCATTGCGTTCTTATATCTCAAATGTTCTTGGCCTTGAGCTCGGTACGGTCAATGCCCAATACGCATACTCTGCAATTGCGGAGTTATTTGTATTACATATTGTTCGTTCATCTGGAAAGTTTAATTGTAAGGACGTGAAAATGGCGAATCTTTATGTAATAACACTTGAAAATATTATGCGTGGAATTCGTGAATCGCGCGAGTATGGCCCGGAAATAAAATCTCTTGTAGACTCGTATAACAATACTGCAATGAATTATGTAGATACATTTTTTGACACAGACAAGACTATTCGTAAATTTATTGACACAAAGGCATTTGCAAACTCAACTAATGTCCAAATAAATTACGATGCTCTAAACTTTATTTGCTATGTACTTTCCCATGAATTGTCTATATTGACCCGTACTTCTTGTCTTTTAAGTCAGTGTGCTGACAAAAAAAGAGTCAGAATCAAAGACTTTAAATATGCATGTCAAATCCATTTAACTGGAGAACTTTGTGAGTTATTGCTCCAACGCCTAAATGAAATTGAGGACATGTTTGAGAATAATAAAGAAGGGGATGATGATAAAGTTGTTACTGACAATAATAATAATAACGACATTAACAAAGAAAGTGACAAAGAAAATGACGAAGAAAGCGACGAAGAAAGCGACGATGAAAGTTACAAGGACAATAATGATAATATTAATAATAATAGCGACGATGATATATAGAAAACTAACAATAGAATAGAGCCAAAAATAGTCGGACTTGTTTTTAAAAATGCGAACATGGTTTATCAAATGCATCTATTTTTATTTTTTTGTGTATTTTTGTCGTTTTAACGATTTTTAAGAAGAAATATATAATAAAGAAAAGGGATGGGGGGTTAATAAAATGTGATCACGGTTAATCAATTTCATTTTTTATTTATAATTATGGTGTTTTTGGTATTTTTTACTATGAACACTTTATAAATACGTAAATAACTTTAACATAAAAATGTTTCTTCTTAAAAAAATAAAAAAATCGCGCTATAACGACAAAAACAATAAATGCCGACAAATTACCTAAAAACATGAAGTAGTCCCGTTTTGGACTAATTAAATAAAAAAGGAACGCATACTAACAATATAATTTATTCCACCTCAACATATAATTATTGTAAATTTGTAAAAAAACTAATGCGACTGATTAACTTAACTGTGTTTGCATTTTATTTTATTTTATTTTATTGGTCTTCTTTTCTTTTCCTTTCCAACTAAATACAGCGTTCCTGTAAAAATTAAAATCTGCCTGATATAAAATACCCGTTTAACATTATGTTGGTAACCACTGTCACCATCACCATCGCCAAACACAAGGACGACATGGACAAGGACAAGGACAAGGACAAGGACAAGGACAAGGACAAGGAGCATAATGGACTCGGTTAATACACTAATGGCGAAAAATTTATTAAAAGCCTATTAAGTCTTGCAATTTTTTCTGTAAATGACGAGAGGTTAATATTATCTGGCGATCGCGTTGTTTCGGGCAATGAAAAAAAAAAGATTGGTGGAATTATTTAAGGATCCCATTTTTTTTGACAAATATATAAACAATAATAAATACCCATTATAACGAAGACAAATACCAACTGTTAGGCAATAGTTCGCCATGCGACGACTTTAAGACGTTGTTCGTGGATTTAACCAAATTAAATGTCTTGAAAATCGACTATACAACATGTTCTGATTCCGAAACAATAAACGATTTTTACAAAGGCCGTGATTTTATAAATTTAGTGTTCACTATCGCAATTGCTTTGGATAAAAAAATTTATGATTCAATTGCCAGTCAATACAATAAAAATAAAAAGGTTGATCTGGGTGATGATCGGGTGTTAAAAGAAAATAAAGAAAATTGGGGTTTTATGATAAAATACCTCATACTTTCCGGAAAAATTCCAGAAGAAACCATAAAAAATTAAAAGGATTGGACGCGGACATAGACATGAAAGGTAATGGTAAAGGTCGACGTTTTAGATATAAACAATAATTTTCGCATCGTTTCAAATCTTCAGGAGTGTGAACAGTGAACACGTTTTTCGGGAAAATATTAAAAAGTACACACATATATTTAATAATATAACATAAATTAAACCATTTTTTATGTTTAATGGCGAAGGGCGGAAGATTAAGATAAGGCGATATACGTTCTTTTTTTATTTAATTATCTATAATGAAATGTAACGACTTTTTGTAGTTTTGGGTAATTTGTTAGCGTTTATTCTTTTTGTTATTGTGGAATTTACAAGAAGAAATATTTTTATTTTTTGCATAATTATATTGACTAATATCAAAAATTAGTAAAAAAAACAGGTGCATGTTATTAACCGTATTTGAATTATTTGATCTTCCGCCCCTAACCTAACTAAATATATATTCCTATAAAAATTGAAATTCAATCGACATGTAATGCTCATTAAGTATTAGTAACCACAATTACTAACGCCAAAAACTGGACACAAAAATGGATTCGAATGTTATTGACTATACGACACGTTCCGAATCTGATACAATAAAAAATTTTTACAAAACCAGTGAATTCGAAAAGCCCCAAATCGAATTCTTCGAAGAGCCCCAAATCGAATTCTTCGAAGAGCCCCAATTCGAATTCTTCGAAGAGCCCCAATTCGAAGAATTGGAAGAGCTCCGATTCGACGGAGAGTACCTAAAAAGGTATAATGATCGTATGAAGATCGAAAATAAGCCCCCAATCGAATTCGAAGAGCCCCAAATTCGAAGAGCCCCAATTCGAATTCGAATTCGAAGAGCCCCAATTCGAATTCGAATTCGAAGAGCTCCGATTCGACAGAGAGTACCAAAAAGTGTATGAAAAGATAATGAAATTATGAAGTTGGGTGCCGCGACAGAATAGTGACGCAGTCGTGATAAAACCGGTAATGTTCAAACAAAAAAAAATATATGACGGGATAGGATGCAGAAGACTAAGACAGTAAAATGTTTTTTTATTATATGTTCTTTTTATTTAATTTATCTTAAAAAACACATATTTTTATATAACGACAATTAAAACTAATCAGTTATTGTTGTCGCTATAACATAAAATCACAAAAAGTCGTTTAGTTTTATATAAAAAATAGGGCATGCAGACAAAGACAACATAATTTATATCGTCCTAATATTAATATTGATATTAATATTAATGTTACTAGTTTTTTTAAAGGCGCAAAATTTGAATTAAATACTAAATACGATAATATGGACTATAACCACTAAACATAGCTAATTCTAGAGATATGGACATATCGTCTTTTTTCCCAAAAATAAATGCGACCGAGGAAGAAAAAGCGATAGACAAGTATAAACGCTCAGTCTTTAATCTTGCCCAAAAGGGGTATCTGACTCAACAACAGATTTCATTCTTGGTCAACTTTGTAAAATTAAGTGGCACAATATGTAACATAAACTGGTTATTAACACAAATTGAAACTTTTCAGTCCGAAACAGACAAAGAATCCAAACCAGGAAAAGACCCTCAAGTCACAGAATTTAAAAAAATAATTGGCAGTGTCTTTGGCAACATACTAAAATACACAACAATTAAAACAAATTGTAAAGAACTGCGTATTAATAAAAATATTAGATACTATTTGACTAGATTAGATACAATTAGTCCGACATTTGAACAAAAAAAAGCATTACATCTATTATATGACTTTATAATAGATCATAATAAAAACACCGTCGGTCTATACGGTTTTGCCGGTACAGGAAAAACGACAATTGTTGTTGAATTTGTGTCCTACATGATACTCAACAAATATCTACATAACGTCGCATTTACCGCTCCAACAAATAA